TTTTTTGTTAACTCAGATTTCCCTTTCTCAATGTTAGCTTCATTTTCCAAGTTTTTTTTATAGGTATGATAATATTGTTGAATCGCTTGAGGAATACAAAAAATCACCCGGTTTTGGTTGTATCCTAGCCCACAGTATGGGTTTAGGAAAAACTATACAGGTGAGTCTTTTCATGAAAATCTCCTTTCATCAGTTTTCGACGAAATATTATGCAGGTAATCACATTTGTGGAGGTTTTCCTGCGGGTCACGGAGGCCAAAAAAGTCCTTATCATTGTGCCTGTCAATACAATCCAGAATTGGTACAACGAGTTCGAAAAATGGATGCCTAGGTAAGCTTTTCTGAGATGAGTTATGTTTGTATAGCCTTCTGATTTAGGTACACAGACAGCGGCGAGACAGCTCGCCAATTTGAAGTATTCCTTTTGGGCGATTCGGTAAAGTCATTCGATCAGCGAGTGAATATGATAGGTTAGTTTTGCTGTTCATACTAGTGTTGTACTTACCTATTCGCTTCTTTTTATCTATATTTCGATCGTTTTGCAAATTCAATATTGCAGAGGATTGGTCCCGCAAAGGCGGTGTACTGCTGATTGGCTATGAAATGTTTCGCCTGTTGATTCGAGCTACTCAGCCTAAAAAACCTACAAAAGCGAAAGGAAATTCGTTTCAGGTACAATATCGGCTCATGTATGTTCGGTTTTTCATGCTATTTTCCACTACAGACCCCTCGCCCTAAACCCGAGCCAAAACTGGAGTTTGATGAAGGATTCACGGCAGATGGTCGAATCAAGAAGGAAGCCAACGATAGTAGGATTAATTATAATATTTTCGCATATCTTGCTTAAGCTTCACGTTTAGTCATAAAAAGTTCTCTCGTTGATCCTGGACCTGACCTTGTTGTATGTGATGAAGGGCATAAAATCAAGAACCTGAATACGGACATAGCCAACGCCTTGGGTGCTATCAAAACGAGGTATGTTGATACGGTTTTAGTTTATTGCTTGGTACTGGACTTGCAATCTTAAGACGACGAGTGGTGCTTACCGGATATCCTCTGCAAAATAACCTCATTGAATACTACTGTATGGTGGATTTTGTTCGCCCAGACTTTCTTGGCTCGAAAAAGACGTTTATGATGCAGTTTGAGAAGCCGATCAGAAATGGACAGTGCA